CCCCCTCTCACATCTAGCATAAGAATCACCACAAACATAAGCTGTTAAGTTATGATATCAGTAAAAAATTTACTCCAGTTTTTTTAATTTGCTGCCACAACCATTTCTTGTTTTTCTTGTCTACGCTCGAAAGATAATTCTTTCTTCGTGTTTTGTGCACGTATGTTATCAGTCGTCATTCGTAATAGTTCTACTTCATGACCCAATGAAGATAAGTTTGTTTGAATTCAATATTTGTAGACGAAAACGAGACTTTTGTAACATGGTAAACGCATATTTATCCGACAGTCGTCGTTGTAAACCTCGAAGCTATTAGTAGTGATTTCATTAAGTCTTCAGTGCTCATATCAGTGCAGCTACGAAGTTACAAAGTGCAGTGAATTTTTGTCAGAGAAACATGCCGCCGTGTGCCAAACACGGACACTTGTTTTCATGCTTAGTAAGTTTCTTTTTGTCGATTTGTGAATAATTTTTGGGTTATTTCTTGTTTGGTGTAGGTATAGTCTTTTTTAAGTGTATTTCGTACCCATATAACTTTTCAAACATGTATGAAATAAAAGTTGTTTTAAAATTAGAAACGTTATAATCAATAAGACAAATACGGACTTTCGATATTTAATTTATTATCTGCCGTCAAAGAAAAGCCGTCAAATACATACGATTGTCAATTTATTAGAAGATAAAGTCTAGACATTGTGATAATAATTTTGAAGTTAAAAAGCTACTCTTGTCTGTTAAATAGTTCTTTAAATTTAATATTGTAGTCAAATAATTCTTATTCTGAATAAAAAATTTGAACGTTGGATGTTTTAAAATGCTCAAAAAATCGTGTAGGTAATTAATTTTTCGAAAGGTTGTCAAGTTTTTGCCACTTTCTACGCACTGTTTCTTTAGAAATTGAAATTTATAGACAAATTATATCTAATAATGCTTATTACAGTCCAATACATACACATTTAAACAGTCCCGAGTGTAAAAACAACGAAGCGTGTACAAAACGTGGAGACTTTTACAAGAACCATATAACAAAAAAACAAAATACTGTTCCTCTGACATAGAAAGCCAATGAATAACGTCAAATTACATCGCATGTAAACAAATTGGTCTTCAGCAGCGAATACACTTTCATTGCGGCTTTTTTACAAAGCCACATGTGTCGGGTACTTTGAATGATGCTGACTATTACAGGGATTTTTTTACCTTTTACGCAATTACGCTGCGAGGCATGGGCGTAACGTAACATTTTACGCTAAGGGGGCAATAGTACACGAAATATGCGGGTATATTGATCATCGTTCTAATTCTAACAGGTCATACACATTGGTGTATGATTATACCGAAATATTTAGGACAATTACAGTTACTACAGTTCACATCCACAGGCGAAATTCTATGTGTATGTCAGTGGCGCAACATCAAATTTGCAGCCTTATATAAGTACATATAGCAAAATTCAAGTTGAGTCTCTGCTACAACCTGCCGATGAATTGAATTGATTTTTTTAGCGCTGTATAAATGTTTCATTTTGCTACAGGCAAAAAATACGAAAAATTTCAAGTTTTTTACTTTATATTTAAAAGTGCATCTAAAACAAAATGGTGGTTTCATCACTCTAGACAAGTCTTTTGATTTAAAGACTAGAAAATAATAGAATAAGAGCTGTTTTTTTCACTTTCTAATAAATTTATTTGCAGTTTAAGTTTATATCTGCCTCATAAAAACTATATACTTACATAAGTAACAGACAGACATACGCTTGATCAATAAATTAATTCGTTTGGAGGCAGAGATATCGAAAGTCCCTGTTTTAGATAGAAAGTTACCTTTTTCGGGATTGCCGCTTGTTTTTTTTTGCGAAATTCCTTGATTTACCAAAACCATAGCATCTCCCTAGGAACTAATCCAAAATTAGTCGGAAATTTTATTTATTGCGCCAAAAAAACATAATACTGACAATATTGTAAGTTGATGAAACAAAAAGTTTCAAAATTATTGAGAAATTTCAAAATATTCAAATTATAATCCTGAATAATAATATGCCGCCCCCTCCCGCACAAGTCTCCGACTTCTGACCTAATTCTTGAGATGAGATGAAGGGTTGAGATGGCAGTTCCGCCACTGGTCTACGCCATGCTATTGTTTCAGAAAACTGTCAACTATATTGCGAAAAGTAGGAACAGCAAGCCATGACTGACACGTTTCGGCAACGCAGCTTACTTGTCGGGCTGCATTGCGTAAAAATCCGACACATGGTAATCGAATCATTATTGTAATGTTATTCCGCGGACGCACGCCCATGCGCTCGAGCGTTGAATGGAAAGGGGCGCGGCCCCACGACCAGAGAAAGCGACCCCTTGGGCCCAGACAGCCCCCAAGGCCTAGTTCAGTGCCTTCTTCGATCGCCGGTTGCGGTCACGACACGGCGTATGTAAATCCCGTGTTTACTTTCCATGTATTCGCGCTTTTTTTTTCAGCCGTTTCCGAGCGCCGGGCGCGGATTTCACCACAGCCTCGAAATAGTGACGAGGGACGTGCCTTACATGCGATATGGAGGAAGAAGAATGTTTTTTTTATTAACGCGTAGCACCTGAGGAGCATCCATTTGAATGCTGTTAGTGTTAACAGTGATTTTGTGCAGAGTTTGCAACGCAAAATATGTTTTGTATACCTCCAAGTACTCCTTTGCTCCTGATAAAAAAATTACAGGAAACTGCTATTGAAATTGTCGAACCCAGTTAATGAAATTAGTTTTATGTTTGCAACATAGATATCAAATTATAGTAACAGGACTACAATGTAAAATATATTTAAATACCTCTTCACACTCGTGTGCTCCTAATACATAAAATAAAGATTAACAGGAACATTAACAGGAAAACTGGATCTGATTGATAATAGAAATTAATGAATAGGGGATTACCGAAATTAATTTTGTTCTTACAATATGTCTATTAAATAATTACGGAAATGAAAATATTAGAAAAATACCTCCTCGAATTTCTGCTATGTTAAAATGAACTTAAGAACAAATAATTAAAGGAAATGTATTGACATGACATTGAAATGAAAATTGGCAAAAGCCAATATTTCGTATTCATGGCCTCCTGATATATAAGCACAAAAATTACAATTTGTTTACAACAAATACCTCCTTCAGAGTTTTCTTAATGAAAAACAAATGCAGTAAACATATTTTCTCTTCGAAAATCAAGAGTTCATATTCGTAGCTTTCTGCTATACATACTTCTGAGTGCGGAGCACAGAAGTCGAGGAGGTATTGCTTGTTACATATCTCAGAAAAACTTGTAGAAACATCATCCTTATTTTTTTTATTGCCAATTTCAAGAGTAAAGATGTTTTAGCTTTTCTGACTTATAGACAGCATTGAATATATGAATATGAAATTTGGTTTACATACACCTCTTCGCGTATATGTTATTTTACTACGTTCATGTAAGCGTATTTCTGATGTTAATTATTGTTATGTTCTCGACATGTTGTTGGCATTGGTACCTCAGATATCTATGCATCTGGTACAAGATTACATCTCGAACAAACTTTAAAAAAACATGTCCTATTTTTTTTATTGTTAAATTCGACAGTTAATGACTTTTTCTATGATAAGCAGCACTGATATGGACGATATGTATAAATTTTGATTTTCATATACCTCTTCAGATTTCTGTTCTTCTAATACAAATATAAACATCGTACGTAAAATTAATTAGTATTATGACCGAAGTTACCTTTTGTAGCACCTAGTACAAGAGTACAAGTTGCATATACATATAAAAACGTGCATATAGAAAATTACGATGCTATACGAAATTTAACTTTATTTCTATTGTACGGGAATGATTAAATCCAAACATTAATATACAAATAGAATAATATTCAAAAGCAAAGTAATTTTTATATCATGGTAGTAATTTCCTTATTTAAACTCATATTAATTTTATAAATATTTGCGTTTTCTCATGATTTAAAACATATTTATGTTCCGTCTTATACCAGCACCAATCACTTTCCATAACAAAAGCGGGGAAAGAAAACGGGTAAATTCTCACGAATGTCAACATTGACGTGAAAGCGCATCGAGTATATTTTCCAAACACAAACATTTTGACCATTTACCATAATTTTCCACGCTATTTTCATTACCAATTAACAGTGAAAGGTTACGGTGGCCACGGATACCAACTGGTTCTTTCTTTCACTTTCCATTTCTGAATCTGTCATCTTTGGTTAGCTAATCTCCGCTTATGCAACTACGATTTACATTCGCGTTTTTTTTTTCATGTTATATAAATCTTTCGTCCGATAACATTTCGACCTTGTAGTTTTTTGCATATTTACAATAACTTTCTTATACTATACGATCGAGCGAGGTTGTATTTATTGATGGAAATATCAATATTGTTGTTATATCTACAAGAAGGCTACTGTTTATACTACTACTACTACTACAGTTTATTTTTTCAGTGCTGCTTTAAATGCATTAATAACGGCGAGATGGTCGGTAAAACTTTCTCAGGTATAATTTAGGTTAGTTGAAAAAACGCCAAGGTGTTCATTTAAGAATAAAAAGAACTAAAACGAATACACTTTTGAATAATAATTTATAGTCGTTAATTAAACGCTAATTATTTTTTAGAATTATGTATAAAAGAGTTCAAAAAAGTGAAAAACATTGTATTTTGGCATTACATGCACGCAGTTATATCAGTCTTCCTTAATTAATGGAACTTTTATACATCAAGTTGGAGATGTTAATAATTTTTTTCTCGGAGGTCCCTTTGTTTATTTTAATACCTATATTTAATTAAGGCAGCCAAACTTCTAATAATCTGTATACCATATTAACTAGAGACAGGAATTATTTATTAGTTGTTGCTATTTGATAATCGTACCTGAAAAGTAATAAGTGGCTTCGAAACAGAGCCTTGCGGCACGTCGATTTTTTGTATGGATTTTTAAGTAAACTTTCATTTTTGTTGCAGGCGGAACGACTTGCTGACTATGGCCGACGTTTCGGCGGTTCCCAGCCTATGCTTAATGGTAGACGAAGAGATCTGGATCGAATCCAGGACCTTTTCCCCCACGACTACCTAGGACTGCACATAGCAGAACCAAATTCCATCAACCACATGGTAAGTAGTATATAACAATCCTTTAAAAAATAACAATAGAAACCTTTTGATGCCAATAGTTTAAATAGGGGGTAAATAATTAGAAGACAGTGGCGGTTCCTGTACAGGGCCATTTGGCGTTTTGACCTTACGTATAAATATACAATAACAAAGTAGAAGTAAATTTACTACTACGAAATGGCAATTATTAATACTTTTAAAAATATGAATATTTTTACTGTAAAAAAGTGTACATTTACCTACTCATACAGGGTGTCACCAATGGATTGAGTCATATCAGATAAAAGTTGTAGGATATCAAAAACCAAGGTGAACAGCATGACCTTGGATCTCACCTTAACCGTAAGTTTCAAGGTCAACCCAAGGTTAATGAGAAAATATTAAACGGAACATCTTTTTCTATGCCAACAATAGATAGAGTGCCAAGTTTGACGTCCGAATATTAAATCGGAATTTTTTTTGGGTATCTGTCTTTGCAGGTAATTTGAAGATCGAACTCATTTTTTTCTGAAAAACAACAATATTAAATTATGGAGAGAAATATTCCAAACAGCATTTTGAATTTGACCTTCAAATGATCTGTTTGACCTTGAAACGGTCAAGGACGTTCTTTAAAGGTTATTTGACCCCAGGTCCGTTTAACGCTGTATCGATTAAAAATAGAATATTCAGTTCTATATTAATTTGACCTTGCAATTTGAGGTCAAGGTCAAATCTAAGGGTACCATCGAATTTGTCATTCAGTCATTGAAACATTTTCCTCAGAAATTGCAACTTGTCGAGATATTCAGGGAAAAATGGGTTTGACTTCCAAATAACCTATCAAGTATCAAGTCAAGTTCAATAACCTATAGTATGTTACAAGATATTCAGTATTAAGTAAATCTTTTTTTCAGTACATAAACATCAACGTTATGTAAAACAGAAAACTCAAACTAGTTAAAACAGACATTTTTTAACAATATTTTTAGCAATAACGTTCTGAAACTGTGAAAAAATATTGTGGTCTTCCTATTTCTAGATACACCCTGTACTGGAAGGAGTTTTTTTTTAATAATTAATATTTTTTTAAACTAGGTAATGTTTTCGTAAATAATATTCATTTATAGCACATTCTTAAGAAATGATAGCTTCCGTAAACTTCATTATTACACCGACACTATGAGAATAGTGCTACATCATCGAACCTTTGCGTTGGTCAACATTCCTACGAGCGGTGCAAAAAACTGTCGCCGTGAATCGTTGATTACGAAATACACCTTCGATTTGGCTGACAGAAAAGAGCGAATTTATTTTTTTAGAACGTCGAACTCGAGGGGGGATTGTCGCGAACAGCATTTTGAAAGTAAACGGCAAAAGAACGGGTTCTTGCTTGATTCGGAAGAAACCGAAAGTGATCTCGGGTGGAAGATTTTCCACCACCGGTTGTTACAAAAATGTCAGTTGTTGAAAATTGTACAAAATTTGTTGTTTTTGATGAGTTAATATGTAAACATTTCTGGGCTATCCTGTATATTGCACTTTTTCATTTTCATATAAATGGCAATTGTTAAAATTTCTGTCATTTATACAGGGGATTCACAACTTATCCAAAAAAATTTGTCAATATCTTAAAAAAAAATTTGTAAAATCCTTATACATTCCGAGAAAAAAATTATTGGATTTGTAGTATTTACAATCCTTACATCACTGGACTACTGTAATCTCTAGCGTCATTCGCATTTGCGCTGTACGCAAATCCGATTTAATTTAACATTTCTGCGATAGTGTTTACATTAGTTTTTCAAGTGACAAAAATGGCTTACGAATAAAATAGGTGTTATAAAATGGTATTTATTTCTTTCCTTGAGAAAGAGATTGTTTTCCGCAATGCCGGTCGCCGACTGCAAGCTTTGCCTTTGGTTAGGTTTTACAGTGGACCAGTTTCCAGTGTCGTGTAGAAGTGTATTTTTAAATCATTTTCGAACTGCCTTTTTGATTTTTTTATACAAAATTCTATTTGTAAGAGCCCCTTGTCCATTAAAAAAAATTGTTTTTTTGAATAAATTCACCCTGTCTTTAGTTACCTGCGGCCTCAAATACTCAAAATCCGGTACTGCTTCTGAAATATTACTACTGGGTTGCTACGTAACAACCAAATTGCTGCTATCCGGTCTATAATTACTTATCATTTAATAGTAATTTCATTTTAACAATAACATAATTTAAAACGTATTAAGATCGCACTGGTTCAGTTGTTCGGCGGTATCGAAGATGAACACCTGGTTCTCGAAACATGAGTAGTGTAACCAGAAACAATCTCTTCCACCGATGTATAATATGGAGTATCATCGTCGAAGTAAGTTGTTTAATCGAATGAATTTATATTTTATTTTATAGTTTTAGACCTTCTTTGTTCGTATTTTGTTTTTGATTTTCCGCAGCTGTTCCCGACACTTATTGCCGTACGAAAAATAGCGCGAATTGCACGGGCTTCGTGCACCATAACTTCCCATTGGGCGAGTGCGAAGCACTTTCCCCGTTACGCGAATCTGAAATGCAGATAGTAGACACTTAACGGCCGTTTCCTCCAGCGAATCCGACGTTTAACGGCCGTCTAATGCGCGCTAGATGCACGCGAGAAAATTTAATTATATACATAAATAGACGCGATGCAGCTATACAAGTTGCAAGAGATGTCAAATAGGTGTAGTCGAATTATAACTTGTTACACTGAGAAAACTACTTCGTTTGGAGGTAATGAAATTTTTGCCGAAAATCCCGAAACGCGTTTTATTATTCATACTGTTCGTGTTTGTCTATCAATAAAATATTATAAACAAAAGTTACATAATTGCTTGCATAGAATACCATAAATTTTATGGTACATAAAATATAATGTTTATCACTTTTTTGAACTTATCTATGCTTAATTCTAAAAAATAATTAGCGTTGTAATAAATTTAAAATTCGATAAAATTCATATCGAGCAATGTGACAACGGCGCGGCGTGTAACACGAGGTAATAAGCTGTCCAGCAATACGCAATTCAGTTTGTGTTGGTATCTGGAATTGGAACGTGTTGGAGTGTTTCTTGCGTACCACTATTTCCTTTTCTTGAGGTGTTTTCCAACGAGTGTGCGAAAATTGGATTCGAAGGTGTCGTGAGTGCATCGAAAATGGTGGTGGACATTTTGAGCATAAGTTGTAGTTTGTTTTGTACTTGTGCGTTTAAAAATTACTGAATTTTGCTTTTTGGTAAGTCCCTAAATTATTTTTAATACGTATGATTATTTGAACGACGTGAATTTTTGGGTACTTTAATTACATATTTTTCCAATTCATGATTTGATTAAAAGTTAAGTTCCTGTTTTAAGATATTCGTTATTACTAAAATTCGAGCTAAAATTTAAGCACAACACTATCTTCGTACTACAAAATCGATATATTTTATTTTATTTATTTTTTTTTAATAACTGGAAAACAATTGTATTGAAATTTACTAACTGTTTCACAATAATAGTTGTTTAAATTTTTTCCGTAGGACAAGTCTGCCCCGTGCGCACGTGGTGTGCATCTGCTGTATAGCGCTGTTGTCACGTTGTCATGAAACTCCCCAATATTAATACTCGCTGTATTTTGAAAACTGTTAATCTTACACCCATATAATGTACAATTTTTTTATTCATTTATGATTACTCTATCTTATGCTGAAGTTATGGCAGTCATCTTCTTACACCCTGTATAGAGTGAATATAAGTAACTGTGGAACTAAAAATAAACTCAGTAGTTTATTTTAGAAATATAGAAAAAGTACAAGGATTATAAGGATTATATGGGGATTAAACATCAGCAAAAGTTGAGATCCTACCAAAAAAGGGTCATTAACAAAGCAAATATTTAAATCTCATAAACTGAAGATTTAATTAAAATTGTTCAACATTATGTACAACAGAATTCATACGTACGAGTATGTTAAAAATTACATTGTGATAATAAAACATGCAGCCATACAGTCTAAGAACTTTAATATCAAACATAATCAAGTCTGGTTATGAAATAGGACTTACTGTCTCTTCTAGTACGTAGAAACTTGATATAGGACCTTTCTAACAATAAAGTGTGATTATGTCCCCTAGGTGGATAGTGGCCATCGAGATGATAAGGTAAATATTTTAGATATGATAAAAAGTACCACTAAATCCCAGAAAAAATTGAAGCCCTCGTGATTTTTCCGGACTAAGAAGCAATTTCATTATCTAACTTATTCAAAATTCTACAAATTTTGTTGGTGTTTCATTTAATAGTCAAGTTGGCCTTGGTTTCACCTTGAAAATTAAGGACAGTGTCAAATCCAAGGTCACCCGGATATTGGGTACTTGACATTCTACAACTTTTATATGATTCTTTTTTTGATAAATCTCATTTCTGAAAAGTTACTTTTAGGACATCATGTATAGTATTAGAGGGAGTACTAAACAATGCCACAATATGCAAGTTTTAGGGCTCATTGATAGATGAGGAGTTTATAACAGGAGTTTTGATTAATGTGATAGGAGAAAAAAAATTTTTCAACCATGAGAATTCCAAGATCTTTAATACTATTGTCTCGTTTGAGACTTCTGGGGTTTAAATGTAAATGAACAAATCTTACATTTGTCAACATTAATTGTTATGGTAATTTTCCAAACATCATTCCTCAACTAAGCAATCATTAATACAAGTTTTAAATCATCTACAAATAATAAATTATTGGATTTTAGTGTTGAAGATAGATCATTAATAAGTATCAGAGAGATAAGTGGACCGAGGTGGCATCCTTGAAGTATACCAGAAGTGGCTAAGAAAGTATTAGATTTAAAACAATTGTACGAAACAGTACAGTTTGCTTGCATTCGTGTACGCGTATACCTAGCTATGAAACATTACGATGACCAGTTGTTATGTCCTTATGCAAACCACGAAGATGCCGCTAGGATGGCCCAACATTAAATAAATCAAATTATCGATTCTATTAATCACAAAACCGCGACGTACGTTACGGTATTTCTCCTGTCCGGCTCAACTTAATGCCCTTTAAATCTTATTTACGCATTTCATTTAGATGTAATCTGCCTAATATATCACCTGTCCACCAGAGACATTAAATAGCAGACATAAACATCCCAATTAGCCGACGAAATTATTACTAAAGCAGGCAGGACACGCTATGATCTAAAGCGGTCCATACGCGTCTCAATCTAAAGCGTTCCATGTACGTCGCGATCTGCACGAGACGTTCCATAGGCACTGAGATTAAAGGACTTGTCGTAAAAACCTTCTTTTGTTTCAGAAAACCAAATATGGTAGGAAAAAGTCCCTGGGAGACCTGACGGTGTTGGAAAACAACAATCAAGGACCCTGCGGTAGGATATTTCTCGTGGAAGCCCCTTGTGCCATGGCGCCGCGTCAGTTGCCCCTCAACGCCAAACCCAGACATTTGTTTTTATTTTCTGATCTCTTGCTTGTGGCGAAGCCTCGATCTGGCGGAAACTTCAAGTTAAAAGTAAACGAAAACAAACCCGTTGACTATAGCAATCTAAATTTTTACTGTTGTAGGAAAGTGTAAGAGTTTCCGAATTATGGCTAGCTCCTTGCCCGGAGTCAGACACGGGTTTCTTGATTGGATGGCCTTCTCCTGCTAGGACCTACCTGGTGACCTTCTGTACTCAAGCGGCCAGAGACTCCTGGTGGTGCGAGTTGCAACAGGCTCTTTCGGCGCAGCTTAAACTCGAACCACCCAACACAAATATCAAAGTGGTGTACAGAGATCCTCTAAGTGGCACAGAATGCTCTAAAACCCTTGGAGTTGGACCAAAAATGAGTTCCGGTGACGTAGTTAGGTTAGCGCTCAAAGAGACTAGTGTCGATGACTGGTCTTATACTTTATACGCTAGGGACAGGGACAATGCTTGTCCTTTGATAGGTTGCGAAAGGCCCCATTCCATACAGTTGGCAAGACTGAGACAGTCGCTTTGTGCGGAGGAGGGATTTGACCTGCAACATTGCAATAACAGGAGGACGCCTAGCGATATTGTGTTCGAACTCAAACCTAACATCAAGGTCACCCCGAAAAAGTAAGAAAATTGTTAAGAAATTGTATTGAATTTCTGTTTATTTCGTTTTCTTTTAGAACTCCTTTGAAGATCTTCCGGAAAACCAACTGTCGACTGTTTGGAGTTCCGCTTTCAAGGTTATGCGCGAATTACACATTACCTCCAGTACTTTTAGCTATGTTAAGGGCATTATTTCAAAGGGGACCACACACCCAGGGCATTTTCAGACGTTGCGCATCGGCCAGAGGTCTCAGAGAGCTGCGGGAGAAAATTGACGCGCAAGGTAAGTCATCGCGGCCCCAAAAAGGAACCTTGGGGTGTTTTAATTTTCCCCTGGTCGGAAGTATTCAATTTAAATTTTATTTTAGGTGCAGCAGTCTGTGAAGAGGTGTCAAGCGCCCCAGCATTGTTACTGGCTGGGTTGCTTAAGGATTTTTTACGTAGTTTACCGGAACCCTTGCTTTGTGGTAACACTCAAGAATGGTTGAATGTAGGGAGTAGCGGTCGTTTGGAACTCCTGAGGAGGTTGCTGAACCAGCTTCCTAGGGAGAACCACTTGCTTCTAGCTCACGTCATATGTGTTCTGTATAATATTACCAAAAGGGCCAGATTTAACCTCATGTCGGCAGCCAATCTTGGTACGTCATTATGTGCTTCTAATTACTTAGTTTCATTCTAATATGATTTTTTTTATTTAGGTGTTTGTGTGGGGCCAAGTTTGCTCTGGGAGTCAACCCAGAATGCTCCTTTGAGGACGCTTCCGTCTTTGATAGAGGTGCTGATCACTAACTGCCAGGCGCTTTTCGGCACTCAGGTGGTGTCTTTGTTGGGAGAAGTCGCGAACGACAGTGGGGCTGAAGAATCGGACAGTTTACATTGTAAGCACAGAATTGTTGTAAATAAGTGGTTAAACATTTGTCGGGTTGGTTGCCTTATAATGTCAGTTTAGACTTCTTGACATTTTGAAAGACATTTTGCTCTCTTGATTACTCTTGACTACTGATTTTCCTGCATAGAGATTTCTTAAATGACACTTGTGTTCTTTTAACGTCTTTCCCAGTTTGTTCAATGTCGAAGGTCATTTTGAAAAGGCCATTACTATATTTCTTGAAGTGCTATAAACTTTATTAATATTATTTTTCAATAGTAAAGACTTATATATTAACTTTCATTAACTTACTCTTCAGAAAAAATTGATCACAAAGGAACAATATCAAAATAAAATTTAAACATTTTCTGTCCTAGCTAAAATTATTCTCTCTCGCTGTGACGTCAACTCGTATACATGCGCAATCGAGACATAAATAAAATACACAAAAAACAATTTGACTTCATGATTCATGACAGTTTTGATACTTCATAATTTGAGGTTAATATTACAAACCTAGTAGATCTGTATTATTTATTCTTATATAATGAGTGTGGCAGTGATAACTGATAAGTATATTGTAATTTTTCATACTCTTCATGTTAATTAAAATTTTAATAGGCAAAAATAACACACAAAAACACAACCGATCACCAGCACAACAAATAGTAAATGACAGAAAATGTGACTGTTCCAGCAATGTCAGAATAGCCAACTTAACTTGTTACACCAACTTAAATTTAAAGCGTAATGCGCATGCGACATAGTTGACGTCACAACGCCTTATAGAAAAGGAAGGAAAATGTTCATATTTTAAAGTTGTATATCTCAGTTAATATTAGTAAAAACAAAATTCTGAAAAAGACCTATATTAATTTTGAAACATGCTGAATTCAAATAAATAAAAAAACAATGTGTTAAACGACCCTATTGTTGCTATATTCCAGTAGATAGTGACTAATTTTCAACATGTAGACCCTTGTGAGGGATAGAACTTGCGGAGAATGCAATTCCATGGGCGTATCATTTTAGAGATTTCCAAAAATTGTTAAATATAAAACAATAAACAGATGTTTCAGATTTGGTAAAAATTAGATTATCCTTAAAAATTTACACATGCCTTGATATATCCAACAGGTAAATAGGTACTTTTTTATTTATACTAAAGTATGTATTCAATAATTCTGTCCTCATAGACAAAGATTGTCTACTACCACCTGTGTATGCTTTCATTGACTGGACAAGTTGCCGCTATGAAAAGTCTCTAGGCATTGGAATGTGGATATTCTTCATATGGTTGCTCATAATCATGATGAGATTCAACCTCCTCATGTGGATTGACTTTCTGTAAATTTTGTTTCCTTTTGATGTGGCTAAACATGCCAGTGGATTTGAACCTTCAAAATCTCATTTTCTATATCCTGCATTTATTAGTCTTAAAAGCTAAGATTCATTTAAATATGATATATCTTAGAACTCATCAACTAGACATTCCAATGATATTCTCCAGAATTTATGTATGCTTCACACATGCACTGTGCCCTGTTTCACACAAAACACGCTGCATGAAATCAATGGTTTTATTCTTTTCAGTCTTTGAACAGCAATTAAGGAGCTTCCACTTTTACATAGATGGAGCTTGGTTTCATGCTTGCAGGCAATTCTTTTGATGTTTTGCTTTACAGTTGGTATCTAAAGATCTCTATGAAGATCAGAGTCACAAGCATACCAATGACCTTCACTGTATTTTGTAATAATTTGTACTGATATGTTTGAATGCATTTGATATTAGAATCGTTAGCACAGCACCAAAGCTGAATGACATAGTGCCACATCAGCGTCAAAATCTGACGATAGATCTTGTTAAAAGTTGATAGTTTGGTTTCTAGAATAATCTCAAGGTATCATTCAACGAATATGATAACAAATAGGGGATAAGGTTTTATTGGGTTTTTGTTGGTAAAATTTACTTGAATTCATTAAGTTTAATTTTCCATTGGTTGAATCATTTCATTACTGCATCGCTTACTCTCTGAAATTTCCTAACAGAGCTTTCTTGATCATAATCTACCTTCTGTCTTCCATTGCTGGTAGATCATTGGTGTACAATGAATATGTTGTAGGTCCAAGGACACTACCTTGAGGCATACGCGCTTTTATTTCTTTAAAATCTAAGACTTTATCTTCTTGCTAGATTCTAAACAATAATTTTAGAACGTCAATGTATTGTTCTGGTAACATTTTCCTTAGTTCATATACAGGGTGGCATAAAAGTATGGGAACCCCAAAAAATCTCGCGTTGATATGCATTTTCTGGAAAAAACAAATGTAGGGAAAGTTAGGATTTTTCCCTGGCTATTCAATGCTGACCATGCCATGACCACTGACCACTGACCATGTGGTCATTGTGGGGTCAAGACGATTTTTTTAAACGGGAACCTCCCTTTTTGACCCCGGGAGTGGAAAGAGCGGAAAATTGTACGTTCAGATGTGACTTTAACCATTTCAAAAATTTCAAGATGGCGGACGAAAATTTTCAAAGTTAACCGATTGTCACCAAATTTTATATACGGAGGTTTTCGAGGTCGCTGATCACGAATCCGAGGTCAGATTTTTAAAATTCACTATGGCGGACATTTTTTGGGGTTTCCATACTTTTATGCCACCCTTTATATCAAGCCTTCGTGTCGCATTTGTGAAACTGACAATACTTTTTTTTTCAGCTCTCGGTCTATCCCTAGACTCTGTAGAATTGAGCAAGGACCAGAAGTCCCTGAGCCGCGACTCTGGCCTCACTCTGTCCGAGGACGACCGGGAGAGCCCCGGCCTCAACTACCACACCCCCTCCTTCCACCGCTCCGACTGGGCCAGGCAGGCGGCTAGGATGCGCACCCTCGACAGCACCTGGATCGAGGAAGACGAGGCCTTCTGCGCCTCCAACGAGAGTCTGTGTTCGCCGCCCATCCCTCCGAGGCGGCCGCCCCCGCTCAGGCACCTGCCGCCCGTTCACCTACCCCCCATGTACAGGCCGCCGCCCCCGCCGCCGCCCACGTACGCCACCGCGAGGTTGTTGCTGGTGACGGACGCGGAGAACGAGAGTTACGTTTGAGGTTAGGTGTTAAGTGTCCGCGATTTTTTGAAAACGCCAGGTATTGTGTCTTAAGTATTTTTCCCGTTTAGTTAATTTGTATTTTGTATTTTTCGTTACTCGTGGGATTTATGTATGATTGGACGGGATTTCAATTTTTTTTTTAAAGAAGTGTGAAATTAATATGTATATTGAGAAATGATGAGTTTTTCAGTAACGTAACAAAATATTCAAACAAGTAATGATTTTTTTTTTCAGTTACAAATTATTGTTGAAATCCTTGAATATCGAAGTTTTAAATCCTGTCCATATACAAATAGGAATTGTTTTGTTTTAAAATACACTGAGAAATATAATTTTTACTTTAGCAGTCAAAATTAAAATATTTGTCATGTTATATTATTGGAACTTCCAAAAACAGCAGTGAATTTTTGAGTGAGTGTCAAATTTTCAAGGAAATATTTATTTTTCACAATATTATTCATTTAGATATAAAAAAATGTATTTTAAGGAAATAGATGTTTTATTTTCCTTTACTTTTGTGAAGTGGAAAATCTGAAGATTGTAGCTTTCTGACTGAATTTTTCAAAGTAGTACATCTTTCAGTGTAACCAACATACAGAATTTTAATATTATTTTTTCAGGCTCTGTTCTGTATTTTACTAGTATGGTTAATACCTAATTTTAATATTAAAATTGCTTATCTAACTTGTAAAATTTAAACTTGATCATAATTATGGACTTTTTAATATAATTCCAGATAACAAAAAATTATTTAACATCAAAAGAACTAGTCCAACTATGATTTTGATTTCGCAGAAATTATAAAACTTTAATAAAAGTATCATTATGAATGTAATTTTTCATGATAATAATAAAAAATAATAAAATAATAAAAATAAAAATCAATAAAAATAATAAAAAATAATAAAAATAAATAAAAATAAAATCCTGAAAGACAAATTTTTGACGATAGCATTTTTTGAAAATATATTCTCACTAAAGTGCACTGAGAAATGTAATTTTTCATCATAATAATAAAAAATAATAGAAATAAATAAAAATAAAATCCCAAAAGACAAATTTTTTCCAATAGCATTTTTTGAAAATATACTCATTAAAAATAAATTATTCCTTTAAAGTGCACTGAGATGAGAAAAGTAATTTTTCATCATAATAATAAAAAATAATAAAATAATAAAAATTAAAAATCAATAAAAAAATAAAATAAAAAATGATAGAAATAAATAAAAATAAAATCCTGAGACAAATTTTTGACGATAGCATTTTTTGAAAATATATTCTCACTAAAGTGCACTGAGAAATGTAATTTTTCATCATAATAATAAAAATAAAAAATCAATAAACATAATAAAATAATAAATTAATAAAAATAAATAAAAACAAAATCTTGAATGACAAATTTTTGACAATCCCTTTCGGTACTACCTAGTTAGGATTAAAAAAATTATATCATAAAAATAAACGTCCATTTCTTTTTTTTTTGTTCATGCAGCAGAAAATCCAAAAATGGAAACTGTGATTGAATATAACTTTTTTATTTTATATTACACATGTCTCTTAGTGTAAATGCTTACACTTGAGACACAAAGATCATTTGTCATGACTTTACTAGGGTGGAAAATATTTTTAACCATTCAGTTAATAAATTTCAGAAATAAGTGTTGATTATGATTATGATTACAGTTATTGTAACTTACAGAAGGAGTTAATTAAATAAGTCGATAAATTTTAAGGGGTGATTCTATATAAATGATTTTAAATTAAAAAATAATTTCTGGTATAAACCTGTTTCTCGGTGTAACCAACATTTGAAATAGTATTGTTTATCTGGCAATGTTGCTTCCTTTACTAATATGGAAACTATTTTTATCCATTTTGATAGTAAAATATCCAATATTACAAAGAATTATTACAATTTAAATTTACTCATAACTATGAATAATAGCATGTTTTATTAAATAAAATTTAAACAAAAAATGCAAAATTTCAACTACTATATTTTTTTGGGGATGGGCCATGCATACCCCTGCCCCCCTAACCACGCCCATGAATATACACTTTTTCCTCTAAAATACACTGATGAATGTGTTTTCTTTTTAATCGATGTTGAAGGATTTGTCGTATTTTCTAGCTCATCGCATTCTCAAGAAGAAAATTGTCTTTTATAGTTTTTTTTTAGTTAAAGATGTTTTGTTTAAGAAAAATGATATTTCCGTTAGTATTATTTGAACATCAGTATAACTTCTCGACAAAATATGATTTTTTAGTTCTATATTGTTTTATATTTTGTACAATATTATGTCTCTCAGTGTAGTTAATAATCATTTTAATATTATTTTTTAGGTAGTGCTGTGTATTTTACTGATACGGATAATATTACGCCTTTCAAGGCAAGGGTTGATTTCATTAATAATTTTATATTTTTTCACAGCTGGCAAAATACCCAAATAAAAAAAATCTCAATTTCACTCCAATTATTTAGTTTGTAAAATTATGAACTTTTTAAATTTTTAGTTTTATTAAAAAGTAATAATAAATAAACCCTTGCGTCAAAAGTATCAGTCTTTGATTTTCTGACTAAAAAATATACATATAGTCGTCAAATATATATTTTGTGTACAGCACTACCAGCATGAAATTTATTTTTTTACCAATTTCAAAGGTTTTTACACGTTTGCACGTTACATAATTAAAATACTGTCAGTGGACTGAATCCGTAACACTTTTTGTTGAACTATTGGACATAAAAAATTAACGACGTCAAAAATACTTGTGGAATTCGAAAAGTGAAATATTCAGTCCAGTTATTGTGCCAAATGATTGTCAGATTCCCCGAGAGCCGTGACGTTTGTGTACTTAATGAAAGAGAACGTTGTTTATCGTGCTTTAAGTGCGTTAGTTTGTAGCTATTACAGTAAAGTCTGATTTGTATATATTGTTTCAATTTTTTGTATTGAACGTTTGTATATTTATTTCCTGTTTCCTTGGGAAGCATTTTTGTAAGATTTTGTATATACTCTTTGTATTATAAGATAGTTCCGGTACTGGCCGGAGTACGCGCACAATTATTTGTGCAGAACAAATGTTACTGTTAACAATTTATAAGAAATATTATTTTTTGCCATTATATCTCGTTTAATTGTAAGTTAAAAGATACGAAAAGATTTATATAACTTTTTATGGGATTTTTGTAATATATATTTTCTAGAAAATACAAATGTGTAATCAGTTTGTGCAGTTTTATTCTTGACTTCGATCAGCATTTTCCTTAAATGTGTGCCCACTTTCCCGTTTAATGGCAATTGGTAATGCGTCATAAGACATTTGATAATTAATTCGACAGTTTAGATTTTAATTGAATTGTGATCAAAATATGAAAAAAGGTATTGACAAAATTGTATTTACTCACATCGTCATAAGCTTCTATATAAGTGGGTAAGTATTCATCATCGTAAAAGTTATAAAAAATTTAAAATATATAAAAATAATTTAGGTATAGATGATAATTCTCACACTTGCCGTTAAATGACAGCCTCGATAAAAATGCTTCAAGAAAGCCACTATACAAAATGCAATAAATTAGAGTCACTGAATTGAGAGAGTACTAATGTAATATAATTCTAGATACATAATAAATTGTCTTGAAGTGATTTGTATTAATTTTACTAATATAAACGACAGCAGTTGGGGATACCTGGTATAGAGACCAATGAAGCTACTTTGACGGATTGATGGTTGGTTTATAAAAAAGTATTAGTCCTAACTTAGTCTTAGTCTTAGTATTAACCTTTATACTAATCTTAGTATTAGTCCTAAGAATAGGTACACGTTTATAAAAACAATGTGTGGTCCTAATTTTATTAAGATTAACCAATGAGCGATTCGACTACGCGCATGGCTAGTAATATCACAGCATAATACTTGTTTATTATAATGAGGTAATGTTATTTTATTTGTTTTGTTGGTGAGTGAAAAGAAAAATATAACCTATTACTATGGTAATGGCGTATTGGCGACCACCATAGACAAAGACAGGAGGTCACTATGCTACGAAATGCAATACTTGTGCATGCGCACTTCTCAAATCTTAGTCTTAATCCTAGAAAAATTAAAAGATGCGAACTTTCAAGGTCATGTCTTAAGACCTCTTACGACTAGGGATTTTTATAAACCGATACATTACATTCTGTACATTTAACTTATTAGGACTAAGATTAAGGTTAATACTAAGACTAAGTTAGGACTAATACTTTTTTATAAACCAACCATGAATGCTGAGGCTTCAGTTTAATTAGAAATATATAGTTTACATTTACGATGTAGTAGGTAGTCCGTCAGTCATATAGTTCATTCTCGAATCTCGAATGCTCTACATGTTTATGCATTTTTGTTCTGTTTTCAGAGTAATCGGACAAAAATCACTTTGTAACCGTTAACAACTAGTCAAAAGTTAGGTTAGAAACTGAAGCCACTGAAGCGCAAAAATGTATTTAGCATTTAGCATGAACATAGCGGACGATGGCGGTACTCTCTCAATTTTGTATTACGGACATCTATTAGACAAAACATGATTAACGACTATGGCTTTATAAACATTATGAAGAAAACTATCCATGTGACTTTTAGTAAGCAAAAACAATTGTACTAGCGCCGTCTAGTTCGCTAAGGAGTTACTTCTCTGCTGCCCTCTAGTTTGCAATAGAATAACTATTCTCGAGAACCAGTCCAGTAAATTGTCTATTGTTATCGATTTCTTCAGAAACGTTTTGGGTCTCAAAAAAATTTGAAAAAATTTCCCTAGACCGTAACGACACTGGAGAATCAAAACTAATTAGTTCTCTAGATCCTCAGGTTTTTGAGATTTTATATTTTTTTTATCTGCGAAGGCTCGTAAACAAAAACTAACCATCCGTGTTTACAACGGTACAGAATGTACGCAATGGTGTCCTTAAATCGAAAATTTAAAATTTAACCATAAATTTTCTTGAATTTTCATGGACAATCGATTTCTTCAGAAAAGATTTGGGTCTCGAAAAAATCTGAAAAATTTTCCCTGGACAATAAGCGACCCTGGAAATACAGTTTTTCTCTAGGTCCCAAGGTTTCTGAAATTTAATATTTTTTTGATCAGCGAACGCTCCTAGCCGAGTTAATAAATTATATAACACATTCACTCAAAAAACTACTAGACAAAACTAGACAAAAACTAATCATCCCAGCTCTCAGCGTTTTCAGCGGCACAAAATTTATACAATTGTACTTTGACAAAAACTAATTCGGTGAATTTGGTAATACATTGCTTTTGTTCCAATTTTACATATCCTGTCATCTACCGGTGATAAGCTGAAATAGATCTAGTGACAATTCTCTATAAATAGATAACTGTACAGATGTTTAACAAAGGAGTTAACTGTAACCCTTTTATTTCTAGAATAAATTTATTATGGTCTTAAAATACAGATGGCGCCATAGAATCAGCACTTATTTGCAACGATCCAATGATTGTCGGATTGCCTACTGTTCTCTAAGTGATTTTAAATTAAAAAATTTAAATAAATCTAGATTCTCGGATAGTTCTGGAGATACAGGGTGATGAAATAAAAAAATATTACGTTTTCTAAAGTATATGAGAACATTGATGAATGATTTGTCTAATTAAACGGAAAAATCCAATGAACTCGAATATAAAGATGTAGGTATATCAGTGGAGGAGATACTGGGGGGCTGTTCTAACTAAAAACCCAAGATATTTGATGCCACCGGATACTTTGAAAATTACTTGTTTTAATTTTCATTAATTTTTTTTTAAACTTCAATAGCCCATATTAAAAAAAATGATTTATGGAACCTTTATGGCTTGAAATCCCTCAAAAAAACACCCCTCAGAGTTTGTTTATGTACTTAATTAACATAGTGCGCAGGAGGGTGGAGTGAAAAATTTGTGTTTAAAGTTTTAAGATTCCTGTACCACATCCTGTACTATCAATCGATGATACGTGGTATTAGAAGTATTCATGTAAAATTTCAGCTAAATAAGTCAATATATTAAAGTGACGCATTAGGTTTGAATTTTAGAAAAAAATCAATTTTTGGCTTACAAACAGAACTTTATTTACGATTATATTGCTATCTTTACTACAATATTGATACTTGATTACTAGAGGAACGAATAACTATGAAAAATACGTTTAAAAACACCACAATAAATATGTTTTAATGTCCTAAATCGTAAGTTCCAGCACCATCTTTTTGACGAAAGTACTGAGAATTCGTGTCGAAAAGTGTTATGTCTTACCTGGCTTTTATCCTCATACGAATAAAACCATCTCTTGCTTCTGGTCTGCAAACAGATAATGAAGTCTCTGTTACAAGCTTCACGTACCTCTCTACTGCCGGAGTGTGACAAGGATACTTTTCAATTTCAAGCAAAGTACCTCCTGAGGCAATGTTTAAAATTTCCGAGTCGGAGTATTTCGTTGTTATTGGAGGTTCAGTTATCTTTCTCTTACGTGTGACTCATCAATCTTGTAACATAACCAGCAACACATTTTCTGGGTGTGCGAAGAAGGCATTTCTTTGAATAGATTTTAAGACAATGCTTTTCAGGTCATCTCGCAAATACAAACACCTTTTAACCATGTTAAATACATGTATCGGACTATCGTTATAAGATAATTTTGTCCAGGTTGGAGCATAAACTTTCATGATAAAAGTGGTTAATTCCTTCAAAATTTTTGTCGGTTTAGCTGTTCCAATCATCGAAAATGTGTGAATATTTGTCATAAGTGTAAAAAATATTGCTTAATCTGGACCTGTTCAAAGTATGCGCGGTCAGATTACCTCACACACTCCACTTCCCCGCAAGTTGGCTTCACCGGTTCCCATGCTTTGGAAACTCTAGGTGATCTCTGTTCGGCAGTTATTACGAATAAAAATTCCTAATGTGCAAATATTTGCAAAACTAATTAATGATATTTCACTACAAAGTAATACATTTATGCGCAAGATATGGCTAAGAATAAATTAAAAGTGGTATGTTTATGACAAAAAGTTACGAAATTACTTCAATTTTTCGGGTACAATTTAGAACTAAAAATGTAAGTTTTTTGTAAGAATGAAGCTTTCCTATCGGGTCATCGATTAATGATCCAGGAGATATACAATTTTTTTTTAATTTTTGCTTGTTTCGCTCCACCCTAGGGCACAGCCTCTGCAGGACTTATTGCCGATTTCTTTAAAACCACTCAAGTTTCTGCTATCAGTGACAAAGATCCAATTAATTATTGACAAATTAGTTTATTAGTAAATACAAGTACATATACTATATAAAAAGTTACATAAATACATAGGATTAAGTATATGATAATCACAACAATAATACTGAATAACACTGACACTGAGATGTCATTAGTTTCTTGGAAAAAAGCAAATTCGAGAAATGCAGACATAGCTACGTGCGTTACGACTTGCTACAGTCCTATAACCACAAATAGGAGGTACAAGTTTAAAAGATAATAGTCAGTTGGCGGTTCAAAATATAAATCTCTACTCTAAAACCAAATTAAGTAAAATCGATAATAGAACTGCCACTTAAAAAAAAATTGCTGCTAAATGCAGGATGCGAGGCGTATTCATCACGTTCATTGCTCACATCGACGTTGTATCGGCATAAACATTTATATTGAGGTGTGCTCATTAGTGATGGGATCTATAAGTATAAATATTCGACAGTACATCAAATGAATTTATGCAACAGTGCTGCTGATTTCGCATATCTGTGGGCTGAAAGAATGGTGTATTACTATTAAGAGAAAAGATAGAGCACTGCTGGTGTGGTTTTGCTTTCATAGGAACATTTCGGAAGAGGTTATGAATACTCAAAAATTAACTTGATTTGGAATTGTACCATTTGTCGATTTTGCAATGGCTCCAATTTTAAAATTTAAAAAAGACGTATTTGTCACTGTATAAATACACCTGCATACAGCAAAATGAATCCTCGTACATAAAATCATATTTGTCATTACATGGCTACCTAACTACAGTAAAAAAAATATAAGTTCAAATGTGTACTCCTCAAATTCAAATAAAATAAATAATAATACTTTAAAATACTTAAGGACTCTGTCACAACCAAAACAACCAGTCTTTAAAAACCTATTCGATGCTAGCTTTAGTGGCGAAGGAAGTCAAAGATGAAATCTCGTTGGCCGACGATTCCGTCGGCAAACGGCTAAACTCTACCTCCTCCCCATCCGCACAAATCGGATCGGCGGGCCACTGTTTGTGACTCGGGGCATACAATATCAGCATGGCGCAAATATAAACGTTCCACATGCCGTATACGCCGGTATGCAAGGCCGAGGTTAGCTCCAGGTCCATGTTCTCGTCCCATTTGTTCTGACCTTCGGCGACTTGCGACAAAATGAAAGATATAACCGTTAAAGCAGCGCAAATCACCGTGACCAGCATCAGAAAGTTGAAACGGTAGATAATTCCTTCGTAGTGCAAACGACGGGCTTGGGACATGCTCGGTAAAATAGAACGTTTGATGCTGATGTTCTTGAAAACGCGCCAGATCATGTAGCAGAGGAAGATGAAGTACAAGCTAGCCGATATTCCGGCGAGGATGATGAAGGATAAAGCTAGATTAGTGCCGACGGGAGTCACCCAAATCGAATAGAACGGGTTGACTAACTGCACTCCCCGCTCGCACAAATCGAAAAACAGCAAACACAGACAGCCGATCACAATCGTACTCAAGTGTTTCCAATACATCTTCAGGGTGTTACGTTCGCCGTTATCCTGAATCAACATGTGCTCGCCAGCAAAAACTAACCAAAACGACAGTAGCATAGCATAAAAAATACCTTGACGGATATCGCTGAGTAGAAGCATGTATGGCATGTCGAATAAGAGAGTAAGATATTCCACAGGAAGATTAAGAAAAGCTAACGTACCTCCTAAGCCCATCAGCATGCATTCTAACAGTGCCGGTGTGCGGTTCAACATGTGAACCCTATTCCAAAACCACACCATAATAGCGATGATGATCGGAAAGAAAAACGTCTTCAGAGACACCCAGATTTTCGTAAAACCACCATTCATATGGATAACGTGCACGTAAATGTCATCTATCTTACTCAAACCGGTGTTTTTGCTCGCGGTGTTGTTGTATGGCAAACGCAAGTTCAGCAGGTAATAATCATGAGAAATAGCTCCTAGCTCAAACAAGGGTATTATACTGCAATTGTAGGGGTACCCATTTTTGTCCTTTATGGTCATATCTTCGAAGGAACAGTCCATGTAACGCTTTTCTTCGGACTGGGCGTAATATTTCCAAGGCGTACGTCCTCCATTCGATGTCTTGTCGCTATAGGCCAATCGAGCGTCTAGAGTTAGCTCGATAATAGGATCCAATTTTTGATCGGACTGATATACCATGTCGACTTGTATAACACCGACCAAATTTTGCTGCCAGCGGGAAAAGTCATGGGTGTCATGACGAGGCATCTGAACCACAAATACCTAGAAAAAACACTACGTAAACGCAAATCAAGCAGGATAACTACAAAAACTTACTAGATTTTTGGCGTCTAACCCAACCGTGGCCTTTTCCTGGTTTAGCTGCACCTCTCTGGAGCACGGTCTGGTGAACCATCGGTCAATACTATCGGCGCTCGGGTCCTCGTCCACACAAACAGTAGAGAGGATGCCTTGAGAAGTCGCCGGGCTGGGACTGATGAGTCCGACTAGGAAGCATGTTAGCTGGCTAGCCAGTAAGATAGCCACTAAAACACTTAATTTTCGACCACTTAAGTTCTCGAGTATGGTGCCGGGCATGGTTCCGTTTTTGTTGAGGAATTTCTTTTGTTTAGATTAGGAATCTGCTCAAACTGCTTTCGACGTACGCCATTAACAAACAAAAACAAAACCTTGTTAGAGCTTTTAGTTTTTTACTTTTACAGTTATCTATTGGTAGTCCTGTGCATAAGCGATTGAGGAAGTAGTACGAACTATACGTTTCTCTCTTATGGTGTAATCTGATTGGTGAGAAACAAGCTAGTTTCACATAGCAACCAATTAAATAATGATACCACCTTTGTTTTGTGTTTTGGTGGTGTCACTGCTGTCTCCAACCTGAAAAATTGAACGGAACTATGCATTTTTAAATATTCCGTGCGACTATGTTCTGTGGTCACTGGTGGTCAGTGGTCAGTGGTCAGTCAGTTTTGAATGGTTTTGAATTTTATGTAGTGAAAGTTGTCTCCGAAATTTATATTCTTCTTAAAACAAGTTTTTTAAGCTCTAAGCATTATATGCATTTTCCTGACAATTCAGAAGTGTGATTACAATTTTTTCCTATTGTCTTGATTTCCGCGCACTACAAAAAGAGTGATATTGAAATTAATAGTGCTCACAAGTCAGTAATACAAAGACCAAGATACTGAATAAACACACCGTAACCAGAACAGGGTGTGCAAGTGCAGATAGAATTGAGTATTTTCCGAATACCCAGATGCCGAAAGTGTTCTAATTAATGAGCGTCAAAGAGCAAAGGAACAAAGAATTGAAGAAATAACATCAACAAAAGTGTGAGAAATTACGAGTCAACTTCATCCAGCAATGAATAATTTTATGCCCAACAACACTACCTCAGTTATCATTCAGTACTGGGTGAGCAAAAAGTGATATTGTTCACATTTCGATCTAGAATTTGGCGATGTTAATTTGTTAAACTGGATCAATTACACAGCTGCAGGAGTGATACAATCATATTTTATTTTATGCATTGTCTTCAGAGTAATAACTTTAATACCCTGTCTTGGAAATGAAATGTTAATGAGAAAAACATTAATTGAACTACACCCATTATTTTTCCAAGAGGAACTCGCTTCCCAATTTTGTTGAAGTATGAACAGGACACCCTGTATTTAGACTCTTTTATAAATTTATGGACTCCGTAAGATGGAAAATTAACTCACTTTTCATTATGAGCGATGTGTAAGGTATCCTTTTTTAAATATATTTTTTTTTTGTTTTGCGAAGAAAGTGAAAAAACTCTTAATAGAAATAAAAATTATATTTAATATAAACATAATGTACTTACAGTAACATCGATAAAAAATAATTCACTCCTAAGAATACTTTTTTTTCTGGAAAATTAGACTTAAACCTACAAGTTACAGTACGACAAGGCTCCTCATCCTTAAAACTAAAATCAATGCACGTTAAACTGCATTTATAACGTTAGCTATTAACCTTAATATCGAATTTTATTTAGTACCCTATCTAATATAATACATTTCATAATACCAATCTTAAAATACGAATAATAAAAAAAAAATCAGATCACATTGTAAATATTACATTCTTTGTACTTTATCAGCTTTCGAAATAAATAAATTGGCTAGCTTTCTCAGGAGTCAATCGCTCCAGGAGCCCGTCGTTCCGGGACTGTCCAGATTACTGGAGGAACTACCGATGCTCTCGCACGCCTCCAAGAACAAGTCGGGGTTTACCATCTCCATCACCCTCCAAGCCAACGTTTTACCCCCTGAAATGATTCTCCCATAAGTAACAGAGACAAACCAACACAATGACAAAAAGGTGTCGCTTGTATTATGCGAGATGTAACTTTAAAGGTCTGTTTTTTATTTAAATCAGATAGTCAAACTCTCGAACACCAATTCTTAACCGAGTGTATCACACCACAGAGTGGCAGAGACAAAAAATTGCAATGGGAAATGATTTTGTAAAAACAGATTGCTTTTATGTGATAACGAAATATTTTTTTGTTGTCAATGTGGGTGAAGCATCAGACATTAAAAAAATGTTACAAGTGGCACTAAAAAATCAATGTTTTTGCATAATTACTACCAATTTTTGTTTTGTTATAAAATGTACATGAAAAAATAAAACTGTTTACTAATCTGATAGATTTCAAATTCCAGTTCTTAATTAAATAATTTGTAATTATTTTCTTAAACCACTGTGTTTAGTTTGTGAATCTCAATGTCAATGATCTTCCAGTTTAAGAGAACTACATAATCTCAATACACCTGATGTGATTTGACAACAGGTGCTAGAAGGGCAAAAAAATAGTAGGTCAAAGAGAAACGAAAATAGCCTATTCTGTCACCACTTCATTTCATTACACTATTTTAGTTTATTGGTTTACGAGAATCTATTTGTAATACGGTAAATAATATCGCAACTTTCTGTTTTCAAGAAAAAATTTGAGAAAACAATCTTATATGTTTCTAAAGATCATGTAAATACCCCCATTTAAAGTTATATCTCGTATTTCAAACGATAGAAGTCACAGGGTGTATACCAAACTGGAATAGCGGAAATTATCACAGAATTTCAAGGATCAGGAAATGTTTTTCAAAGATCGCCCATTTTTTCACAATTCGCAGAGAACTAAAGAAAATAGATATAAATATGTTTTTGGTCTCGAATTACTCGTCGTAAAAAATTAAGATGAGCACAGCTTTAAGTTTTTTGAAAATTTAAAAAAATCACCCCTACTTATTTGGGGGTTGAAAAGACGCCCAAAATGAAGAATTGAATATTACCAATAAATATAAAAACTATTAGCATGTGAATTTTTCTATCGAATGATGAAGGTACAAAGAAAGATTTATTTTCATAACTGAAATAAGCATGTTGAATTAGAAAATTCACCCTTAAGTGTGCTCAGGGAGTGGAATCACCCCCAAAAATAGAGAATATCAGTATTGTAAAAATTAAAAAAAATATATATTAAGATAATTCACATGCTAATAGTTTTTATATCTATTGGTAATATTCAAATTCATCATTTTTGGCATTTTTTCAAGCCCCAAGTAGGGGTGATTTTTAAAATTTTCAAAATACTAAAAACTATACTCATTTCAGTTTTTTACAAGTAATTTGCGACCAAAAACATATTTTTATGTATTTTTTAAAATTCTCTGCGAATTGTGAAAAAACGGGCGAAAATCGCAGGTTTTTTGCGGTCATTCTTTTCATATTGAAATAAAATCAATACTTAGAAAAAAATACAAATTTGAAAAATAGTGACTAAATTTTTTCAATCTCTCTTTTAACTGTTAGGCTTTTATTTTGATTGTGGACTTCTTGCTTATTTTTTAAAAAGAGGTTGTACAGTATTTTTGGATGAGAATTGACTGATATAATATAGTTGCTCAAATTTAGCCAATTTTTCGATTTTCGTCACGTTTACCCTTATACGTTTTAATTCCCATTTTTTTTGCAAAAAAGGAAGGATTCGTTCAAGGATTTTCATCACGTGACTTGTTCGAAAGGTCATTAAAAATGAAAAAACGCGGGGTGCTATTAAATTAGAGGGTTGAAATTAAAGATAGGGTTAAAAATGCACTTTTGCAGTTTTTTAAATATAGCATGAAAACGAAGCAAAATTGAATCCCATCGAAATGGCTCATTTAAAAAATTCAAAAGAAAAATTTTATGCAAAATATCGTTAGTAAACAATTTTTAAGGATTTTTTGATTTTTTTTTTATTTTTCTGACTAATTTATGTTAAAAATGACGAAAATCTAAAAAATATCTAAGTTTGACCAATATTAGCCCAAAAACTTTTGAAAACACATCATTTTGAAGGGAATCTCATCAATTTTTTTTGTACAGCAATTTTCTTTGCATACTTCTACTAAAGAAAATTAGAGTAAAAAAATCAAAAAAAGGCTTATTTTTTACTTTTTTAAAATTGTTTATTAACTATATTTTGCATAAAATTTTCTTTTAAAATTTTTTAAATAAGCCATTTCGATGGGAAATTCATTCTCTAAATAATTTTTCCTAATTATGAACTATAGCGAAATTTTGCTTCGTTTTCGAGCTACAATTAAAAAACTGAAAGGGGTGCATTTTCACCCCTACCTCCAATTTCCACCCTCTAATTTAATAGCACTCCGCGGTTTTTTCATCTAGAATGACCCTTTGACCGATTCATGCAATAAAATTGCTTGACCGTCATAGTTCCTTTTAACCCTGTTTTTTTGGAAACAATCAATAGCTTACTTTGGAGCATAAATAAACATAAACATATTAAACATTCTCCTGTTTTAAGCTGTAATAAACAGCAATAAAATATCGTGTTTGTTATGTTTTTGTTGGGCTAGAGTTCCTGTCAGTGGAAAAGACACTATGACACTCAAATGCATAAAAAAATCGACCATTACAGCTGCCAGACTGGGTATTTTTATTATGACAATTTTTATGTCAAGTATGTGCATAATACATGGACAGTAATAAACAATTTTGACTATTTTGGAACAAAATAAGTGGGCATTACTTTGAAACCATGATTGTACCATCACATTTACCATGTAAAAGAAGGAACTGAGGGTAAAGCATCATAGATGTCAAGTTTTAGTAATAATTATTTTGGAGTAATAAGAGAGAACAACATTAAACATAAAAGCACTAAATTAAAAAATTAACTTTGTTTTGAATTTTTTTCTAATATTTATTTTATTTTGATGGCAAAATCTAAACTCAGGTCAAAATAAATTAATGCTGTCAGAATTCAGTCAAAAAATTTCACATATTTTTTGGAAAATGTACATTTTTAATTTTTGCCATTTGCTTCTAAAATAAAAATCAGCCAGTATCTATGTTGCACTTATCTGGCACAGACAAGCAAAAATGTTTTCTATTGTTACAAACTTTTTGATGGTCCCTGTATAATTTTTGAAACCAAAAAAAAATTGGAAAATGGTAGTCACTGAATTATGGAATGTGATATAGAGCTTGCATTTTCGCAACATGTAACAATTTTCAAATCTACCTGGAAAACCTCTAAATATTAGGAAATTTGGTATACACCTTGTAACAATTTTTAAGGCGACCGGCAAATTTCCCTGATCTAAGTGCTATTGATTGTCAAAACTAAATTCACGACTTACCTGTGTGGTGCACCGAATCCTTGATTTCCACGGAATTCTCGCAATAATGTAAAGCCGCCTTCCTCAAATTGTCGCATCCGCACTGGTCGGCGAGCAATAAGATATTTGGCACGCTACTGGGCGTCAGACTTTCAATCAAATTCCTCTCGCACAGGGCGGTCAACCCGGGCAGCTGGAATCTCGTGCTCAACGGCAACAATTTGTGCGTGTACTTGTCGGGGTTGTCCACCTTGTCGGTGTAAATGTAACGGAGGAGTTCCGTCACCAATCCGTGTGATAGTTCCGTCAGTTCTAGCTTGTACTTCATTCTCTGGAAGAAAAAAAACAATGTTAATTCTTCGTCTATAAGATTTTACACGAGCGTCTTACTTTGTCCCTTTCATCTTCGTATGATATGAGTCGGGTACCAAGTTTTGAACTTCTGAGTTTGACGATCCAACTGTGAGCTTTGATGGGCCTCTCGCCTTCTTTGCAGGTGCACTCGACAAGGGAATCTTTGGCATCATCGGTGCACATCAAGCGGGCCATGTCCTGCGACAAACTGTGCACCTCTTCGTCGCTTTGGATAATCTGGAGCTTCAACATGATTCTCACATCTTTTGCTGAGAAAACAAGCAAGAAAACGTGTTATTTTTCATCAAACTATTGAATATATAATTCATACATTAATTGTCAATAGTTATTATGCCAAAATGGACAAAGGTCCTCCTCAGGGTACCAATCCGAGACCGTTAATCCGCGCGGTGCGAATGAATGACTTTAATAGTTTTTTCTTGGATTCTTTTAGACATAATTAGATCACTATTGCCCATTCACATAATATTAACCTTTTTTTTACTTAATTTCAATAATCTAGTTATCAATTTTACTAAATTTTCAGTTTGCAAGACATTTTAATTTCCCTAAAACACTTACAGCTGTCTATGTGTCTGTCCATAATTCCAAGACTCTTGTACCCCACAGAGAGCAAGTCCCTATTGTTCTGAAGGTTCAAAACCACACTGGATATCGGGCAACACTCCCAGTGTCTTATACTAGCATCCCAGATGCCAAATTGGAATCTCACTCTTGCTTGACCGGTTTCTTCTGTCTCGCAACCAGTGAGATTTAGGCACACCACCAGAGGGTTGGTAACTTTCTTCCCATTTGAACCTGAAAGAAAATGTGTGGGTTTAAAAAACCGCGCAAAAGGTTCAGTGGAAAATTTGCAAACTTTCCAAAAATATGCGGCTCTGACTTGGTTTCCTACGTTAATATCAGTCGAGAAAAAACATCAAGGTTCGCACTTGGCATAAAAATATCCTGAACAAAATCAAAGTTTTTGTATCACGCCTTGGGTGCATGTTTAATTCTAATCTGGAATTTATAGGAACCCAAGCATAGAGAAACAAATAAAGTTCTGTCTGGATTAAACAAATAAACAAAGTGATAACATAAATATCGCAGTACTTTTTTATTAAAACTAAACCTTCCAACTGTTGCTATAAGGATAAGATTTATTTAGAACACAGCATATATGAAATTAATTATGGATGTTAAATGTAAGCAAACATTTGTTAAGTGTTACTAGAGCTACAAGGTCGATTGAGTTGGTAACATCGATTAAAAAATAACTGAGAAAACAAATAAGTCTCCACTCGACAGCTGCCGAGATATGGTCTAAAATCAGTAAAACTTCGAATTTATTTCAGAAGAGTAAGTATATGAAATTTGAGTAGACCTCTAAAGTTAAAGGTCACACTTTGGACAATTTGAAGCCTCGAAAAACTCGCAAGTTGTCAAAAATCCCAAGTTTCACCACGAATTCGCGACTGCTAATCGCAGGAGTGGTCCTATCGGAGCGATTTTGGTGTCGTTGTATAGGTTGGACATTTCGGCGTCGAATAGAAGCACTTAAGCTGTCATTTGTCAGTGTTTGTACAAAAACAAATAAATTTATCTATTAATTCTGTAACTTTTTTGCTTACCTTTCCAAAATCTGACTGCGATGTTCCAAAAGGTGCTCATGCCGTTCACGGAACATCTGAACACGGGGCTGTCTAGCGAATCCCTTTTGGAGATCGTCTTGTGGAACTTCCTGATAGTCCAGATTTTGCGGAACACCACCTCGGAGGCCACTGGAACCTCCACCTCCTCGTGGATGGTGCCCACGTCGAGCTGCTCTTCCACTTCTTTACCTTTGCCATTTTTGGGGCTCTTTGGTTTGGTGGGCATGATTTTTAGTCTGGAACAATAGACACCCATGAGTCGCGATATTAATACAATAAAACAGCTAACGGTGGAACAAGTTCGGAGATATTTAAAAAAAAGGGTAAAAACTACAATCAATGCTGGAAATTTTAGTTGACGGGGAAGGTAGGGAGTTTTGGAATCCATATGTAGATATACACACTGCAAAATACTTGTAAAAAAGCTAATCGTATGCGTAAGGAGCTACAAAAAGGCGTAAATTGATAAAGTGGTGGACAAAATTGTTTTAAAATTTAAACTTAAATTTGTTTGAAAAAAATATGATTTTTCCCTATTTACTATGGGCATATTGTCCTTTTTAGAGACAGGATGTCGATTTTTTTAAGCAAAAAAGAAACAATATGTTGCATTAAAATTTGATACAAGAAAGGTGTTGAGTAAAAACTGTTGTTAGTTTCGACTATTCTGTATTTGTCGCTAACATTACATTCTCATAAAATATATAAGTTAATAAATAGAACATATTCTATTCCGTAGGTAGAAATGTGGAAAATTATATAAAAAATCTTGCATTTTATTGGAAATAAAATCCTTTTGTCACTTCATGCTCTACGAATTCTCCAATTTTCAAAATTTCTGAAATCCCGAAGACAGCTACAGAGCTGAATATTTTGAGATATTTGTGGAAATCCGAGAAGTGGCTATCTTGAAATGGAGACGGAAAAGTATTTGATCAAATTACATCATCACAATCTACGAAAAATTCTAATACATTTTTAAATCTAACTGATAAATACTCCTTTGAAGATTACATTAAAACCGGACTAAGAAATTTCATCATCTAACAACTTGAAATAAAAAAACTGTGTTATTAGCACACAGACTCAACTTACATTTTCACCATTGTATGACACCGAACTCGAACTAACGAACTAAAAAAATGTCCTGACTTTCAGAATAATGTTCTATCACGTGTGTTAAGCACTCAGTTTTTTCCGTAGTCAACGCACTAGTGAACTGTGTTTAATTCAAGCAGATAGCGGAATATCTGCCGTCTCCGATCGACCCCGCAGACCGAACCGAAATGATTTTACAACTACCGACGTGGAATATATAGACCTTATCGTCTTTTGTGTAGACTCTTTTCATTCGCGGGCGTATTTTTAGCTTTCGTTACTCGGTGGGACGTTCGTGGTAGTCTCGGTCGAAAATAGGGGCAGTTACATGTTTTGTGGAAATTCAATGCAATTAACAGTAACAGGAAATTACAACAGTTCGGAGACCAATGATGAAGCCTTGTAATAGGAACAATTTTAATTGAATCAGTAAGAAAAGAAGGTTATATCAGGAGAGAAGTCAACTTGAAAGCTTTGCCGATATCGTTTTTCTTTTTAGAATATCGCAAGTAAAAACTTTTTTTTACTGTCCGTGAAAATCTAGACGGGCTATCGGAAAATTAGTTATTTTAAGTTGTCGGAAATTAAATTACCTACAATTTAAGGTACCTGTAATATTTCATAAATTTGTTAACTGTAAAATAATGGACATACGCGGAAAAATGAGTTTTCGAAAATTGCGTATTATTATTGCAAAAACCGATGGATGTTGATGAAATTTATAGAAATGACAGTCAACCCAGCGATCAACATGTGTGCCAAAGGCCGATTCGATTGACCGTGAAATTGTTGCTCCAGTTATTTGTCAATCAATTTCGTTCGTTTTTTTGTAATTAATTATTTAATTACTAAACTTTAATTTTAGAAGTTAATATCGTAGATATAGGTTCTAATTGATCCAAAGAAACGTATCGAAAAAGAAAAAATTAAAAATGTTGAAGCGTTAAAAATAAATTGTCCCAAGGTCAGGAAAAAGCCGCTCGGGAATTCCCTCTTTTTGCATTAAATAGAGCTTATTTTTATGGTAATTTTTTGAAAGCAAAGCTTCAACGATATCTCCCTTCTTGTTTGCAAAAGCAATAGCATCACAATGGACAGAAACCAACACGAAAATCAACCATGATGGAACTAATTAACTTTTTTCAGCATTTTAAGTGTCTATAGATGTTAGATATGAATGATTTCTTTGAATATTTGCAACATTATTTAATTAATTATTATTTCATTAGTACTTACTTCGTATTATTTTTTATTTTAGATGTTTTTATTTTAGTATACCTAGATATTTTTGATTAATGATAATTTAGGACAAGTTTTAGAATTAGTTTGCATTGTTACTATTAAAATAAAATTAAATAAAAATACTCGTAAACGAACTAAGGAAAATATATGATTAAAAAAAGTAATTGCATATTACTGTTTTAAAATATTCATTTCCATATCAAGGTTCTTTATAATCATTAAACTGTAACTTGCCGTAACATCTTTCACAAAAAATTGAAAATAAGTCTTATGTAAGCATAGTTATATTTCTAGGCATTTATTTATGAATGACTGCTAATGTCTGTCTTCATTCAATTTTTTTAAAGGTACACTCTGAAATAGAAAACCAAAAATAAACCAATTTCCGCCTGCTCTCTCTATAGTTTGAATCTGAAACAAGTTAATTACTACATAGTTTAGTAGCCAGAATGACATGCTTACTATATAGGACATTTGAACAACAGTATCGTAATTAATTTACACCATTTATGATCTAACCTATTTTATGAAGCATTTTTTGAAAATTTGCGCAGTGGATCACAAAATACAAAAAAGAACTTCACTTGTAATTCTTTTGAGTGGGAACATTAACACCTAGTCGAAAAACATTAGAGTAACAGAAAAACATGAGTAGAAGCACAGAATAAATAGCGTAGCTATTTATTCTGTGGTAGAAGTGATGTTATGTAGAAAATTTATTGTTTGCCCACATCAGTGAATATCGTCAATACACAACAGAAGGCTTTAAGCTACATTAACAACTTATCGAAAGGTGTTACGAACTAAAATTAGTAAAATTAAAACACGTGTAGAATTGAGGTTAAGTACAAAATTCTTTTGTTCACCCGCATCGCATCAATGACGTCATTGCTAGCCCACTACGGCAAATAAAGTAGGAGGCACTGATTTCTTGTTTTCTTCGCATAGCAACATATTTCTTTTATATAAACATAACAAGACACTTGAATATTTAATCGCAACTTAAAAATGTTGCTTATAACGATTTTTTTCTTTCCTTAGTTGATTTGTTCCATAATAAAGGCTCAAACGACAAATGAAAGGAAGTAACTTAGTTTATTAATAATTTATCAGCATCAAATTGAATGCGGACCAAGTATTTATGTCTATGATAAGATTTCCTAATCGAAATCACGATCGACCGTGTCTAATAAAAGTGCACGCGAAATATTTAGTTCAATGATAACGTACGTCATACTTTACTGTTTCTAAGAAACCAATGTTTTTTTTAGAGTATAAGGTACAAGGCGGTGTCTCAAGTGAGCATAATCGAAGAACGAAAAATATTTCAATCAACATGATGGAGAGAGATATAGTGTTCTTATGTGTACTTAGTTCTAAAACCATAATTATGCGTAAAACTACAACGGTAATTAAAAAGAGTTCAAAATTAAAGAGCGAACGTTTATTGCTAGTTTTTCAATTGATCATGGTATATACAGGGTGTCCCAAAAACACCCGTACCCCCTGAAAACTGTTCAGGGTCGAATCCTATCGAAAAAAGTTTCAGATAGTAGGACCCAAGAAGCTAATATGCTAGTGATCTTGGACTTGACTTTAAGTTTCAAGATCAAATCAAGGTCAACTTGGAAATATTAAATGGAATTTATTTATTAACCTAACAATGAATTAAATTTCAAAATGTTGTCAAGATCATACCAACCGTTTAAGTTGATTAAATGCTATTACTTTCATATCAATATTTTTGTGAAAATGACCTTCAAATGACATGCAAAGACATTATAGAAAAATTCTTTTGTTCTGATATTAAAATTTGGCGCTGTATTGGTTGCTGGTATAAAATTTAACCTCCAAATGGCCTGTAAGGACATACACAAGAAAGTTTCTATTCTAACCCCATATTCAGATGCAAAATTTTAAGCTCTATCGATTGCTGACATAGAAAATACGGTGTTCCGTTCAATACTTTCAAGTTGACCTTGGTTTGACCTTGAAATTCAAGGTCAAGGTCCAAAGCCACCCCAGGATAGTGGCATTTTGAAATCCTACAAATTTTATCTGAAGCTTAGGTTAAATTAGGATTACATACAAAAACTATGAGAACTATGCTTAAAATTATAAAAACCGTGCTACAGGGTGAAAAGTAAAGGAATCTTGAAAATAGTGTCAATTCTTTTAAAAATACATTTTTAATTTATGACATTTTCAAACAGAGCGTCCTATTCTACATCATTAAATTTGTATAAGGTTATATATAAAATGTTTTTACGTGATTTGGCGCAGGTGATGAGATTGATCAAATTGAAATCTATATGAACTACGTTTAAAATTATAAACACAATTCAACGAAGCGAAAAATACAAATAGCCACTCTGTGAGTATTGGAAATGTATTCTCTACTAGTATAGTCTTTCCGAAGTCAGTTGAACATGTATAAAAACGCCTAGCAATAAAATTTAATGAGTTTCATAGGCGTCCCTAAAAATGTTTTCTGATAAAGGTAAAAATTATAATAATTTGTATATAATGTGTAGAAAACTATGTATTGTATGTATGTTCATTTGACCAACAACATATTTTAATTATTTATGTCCTCAAACAATTTTATTATATTGATGGTAAATTATAATATATCCCTTATTTCTCGCTTTCGCAATTGTAATATGTATTAATGATTAACAGACGGTGCTTATAATAAATTAAAATTGCCTGAACCACACCAAATTCCGCATTCCTGCACTGCACTGCTAGGCAATTTGTCAACAACTGAAATGTATGCCCGATCGCCCAGTGCGACTGTGTTTGTTCGCCGTTTGCTCGAGCGCGCATTATTCAACTGGACGACCAGATCTGTATATGGGTATGGCCAAAAAATTTATGGGAACGAGTTTTTCAAATATTTCAATGCCGAGTTGCTGCGCCAGCGACCGAACCTGGTACATACTGCCAACCTCTTGGTTCTTCAATTGAGATCGGATAGACTATACAATATTAATGATTCGTTTACAATGAACAATGACAAACCGTTATGTCTTCGGTCGAGTTATAATTATTGTATTTTAATGTAATTCTGATCTTATTGTTTTAATTTTACCGAAATTTAATTGCCAACATGAAGGAAATAAAATTACTGGTCACGTGGCTTGTTATCATTTACGAAAAAACACCCACATCACAATTTTTTAAAATAAAATCACTTTTTGACTTTGACTTGATTGACTTTATTTTTATAAATCCATTGCGCTTTTTTTGAAAATTTAATGATTATATTATATTTGTTATTCTTTTAAAATGTAAACTAGCCCGATCTGTAACAGTCTGGCGTATTACATCAGTGATACGGAAACCCCAATAGCGTTGATGATGTCATCTTGAAAACCACGCCAATTTGATAATCGCGCGTTAGTCATCACTCCCCGCTAGCTGCCGCATCTAGAAAACAATTGATAACGACCAAGTGACTAACGCGAAGCGTGCCGTGGAATACGAAACAAACAAAGAACGAGTTTATCAGTCGTTGCAATCCAGTAAACACTGTCCCGATCGGTAATGCGTTCCAGAGAATAATAAATCAATCACGCGAGTATTTATTTTCATGTAAACCACGCGTTAGTCGAATGCCCCAAGTTTATGCTGCCGGTAAGCGTTCTATTTACCTTACGCTTTATTTCTGGAATGTTTAATTTTCGAAATAGATCGAGAACGCGTAGCGCTGCTACTCCGGTTTTTTGAGTCGGGACGAAGGTCGTCAATGGCGTTCAAAAATGTTGAGAGACGCAACTAGAAGCTGATCTATTGAAAACAGGATGACAAAGGCAATAAAATATTATGTACCTACTTGTCGTCTCGAGAGGTTAATGTGAGAAAACCGCAGCAAAGGTCAAGGTTTCGTTAACAACATAACGATTTCGTCATATTGAATTGATAAAATTTGCAATTTCCTTTCTATTACA